TAGATTCTCTCATGTGAAATTAGTTGCTAGAAGAACAGAGGCTCACAAGTTGAAGTATCCCAATGCAAAAGTCATAAGCCTTGGAATTGGTGACACCACTGAGCCCATTCCAGAAATTATAACTTCTGCGATGGCAAAGGTAATGGTATTCATTTTGATGTGAAGTTCTATCATTCATACAAGTGTAGTTCGATCATCTTACAATATTTTTGTTGATTAATAAGAGATTGGGATATTTTATTCTTGCTACCTTTATTGTAAGTGTATGTGTGTGACCGTAGCTCGTCCCACCTTGGTACAATATCACCTAATTCATTTAACATGTCTGGTTGTTGTATATGGTATAATTGAATCCATTATAGATACATGAGAATTTGTATTTGTACGATTTTAAACTTACACATGAATTTATTCAACTTTCTTGGGGGGATGCAAATAGAAAATTTGTGCCCTCCGGATTCGGTTACAACCACATGATGACTTGTATGTATTGTTACCATCAAGTTAGACGTTGCCATCATTTAAAGCCATTGTATATACAATGTGCTATAAGTGCGTATTTTAAACTAAGGAAACAGAGGAAGGTGTTTTGTATTTCAGATGCATAATCATGTGAATTTCATAAGTACATTTTTGGACAACCTATGTTCCTGTTAGTTTTGACTGAAATGACAGCCTGCCTTTGTTTTTCAACTTGTTTAAACTATATGTAATATCCTTGGGTTTTCTTATTGGCAGAGATCATATACATTGTCAACAATCAAGGGTTACACTGGTTATGGAGCTGAGCAAGGTGAAAAAGTATGTGGTGTCCTTTGACTCTTTATTGACTATTTACATCTACGTAGTTCGTGAACATTTGCGATTTTTATGATGGTATATAACTGCGCATGCATATTAGTATGACAACATTATTATGCCTTTGCCAATTATTTCTCTTCCCTTCGTTTCCTTCTTCCCTCTTTCTAATTTATGGATTATCCAATCATCTGAGACTTGATTCACTGTGTATTAACTCCAAAAGTAAATTTTGTGTTTAGCAATTGAGAAGCGCGATTGCCTCAACTTTTTATGCAAACCTTGGAATAGAGGCAAATGACATATTTGTGTCGGATGGTGCAAAAAGTGACATATCTCGCCTCCAGGTGTGGTTCCTCATTTGTTGTTTTGATTTATTAATATACTATTGATTATTGTTTTCTTTTTTCTATTCAAGTTTAGTTGTATGCATCTGTATTTGCTAGGTGTTATCTTATTTGAAACTAGCAGAATGTTATTGCATCCCCATTCCCATTAATTAATGTTATCAAGGTCACTTGACTTTTCTTTGTCTCCTCTCCTATGTGGCAGGTCCTCTTTGGGTCGAATGTTACAATGGCAGTGCAAGACCCATCATACCCGGTAGATATCTCAATACTTCTACCACAAACAAAGGAAAACAAAAACACACTTGTCTTTAGTAGTATTAACTTGTCATGGTTTTTTTTATTCTTATTCATATCAACATCTCATGTTTAAAGGTTGAGTTGATGTCATCATCTATGATTGGTAGATTTTATTTTATTTTTCCTCTACAATGTGGTTTTATAATACAGGTGTTTCAATATATTCCTTGAGTTTTCCTTAAATTTTCAGTTTATCTCAAACTCTTATTCATTTAGGGTATGAACTTTATCTTATTGATAATTTTTGTAAAGCTTATGGCCATATAATGTTCCTCTCAATGACCATGTTGTATATGAGGCAAATGATGATCCTTCAGTGCATCTGTCCCCCTTTCTCTTTTTCTCTTTCCTTCTATGCCCATGCAAATAGATGTGGTCATTTTTTTGGGTATATTTGGGAAGTGTGTGTTCATCTGGGAATTTTACCAATTAATAGACAATGTGGTGATGGTTTCAACTATGTAAACAAAAATTATTGGCCTTGAGAAAAGACTCCCAATCTGATGGAAAGTTGGTCGATTTGGGAATTCTATGGGTTCTCATTTGGGGTGTCTTTGATACGCATCAACTAGCTAGATTGTAGCTAATTAAATAGGAGAGAATTATTTTTTATAGTGGATCTGTTGTTTGCTCATATGTGTGCATGGTAGGGTGGATGGGATGGTTGTATGGTAAATTTTACGTAGAAAACTTATTAATTGAGTGTGCAACAAGAGCAAGGTGATAATAATCATAGAACAGGGACATAATGAAGTGGCTACTTTGGAAAGCTTTTACATCTCTGATACTTTTTTTTGGTGCTCGGGAAATGTTTAATTTTTGCTTCTTATCTCAGGCTTATGTAGACTCAAGTGTTATTATGGGTCAGACTGGTCAGTTTCAGACTAGAGTTGAGAAATATGAAAATATTGAATACATGAAGTGTACTCCAGAGAATGGTTTCTTTCCTGATTTATCCACTGTTTCTCCTACAAACATCATATTTTTTTGTTCACCCAACAATCCTACTGGTTTTGCTGCATCAAGGGAACAACTGACAAAATTGGTACAATTTGCCAAGGACAATGGGTCAATCATCGTCTATGATTCTGCTTATGCTTTGTATATGTCAGATGATAATCCACGATCCATCTTTGAAATTCCTGGAGCCAAAGAGGTAAGCCTGGAATTTATATTCAAAATTCTTTCCGCGAGGTTTGGGACCTTTGGGTTCTTTTCTTTGTTCCTCCTGCCTTTAATTGTTAATAATCAACACCTGTGGTTGGGGACAGGAGCCACAGCTTATACTTGAACACATCTAGTCTCATGGAAAATTGTGATTTGGTTTGTACAGGATTCTATGCATTTTTTCCCTTTGGAGGAATTTCTTTCGCATATATTCCACCATTGAAAAGATGAGAATGGTCTAGATTTAGGCAAACTTTAGTACAGAATATCTGTGATGGGCACAGAAAAGTCTGGACTCAGGTTTTGTGGCAGTGTTCACATCTAGATATGCATAACATCTTGATCTACATATGGGTATTGCAGGTTGCAATTGAAACTTCGTCATATTCTAAGTATGCTGGGTTCACAGGAGTTCGTCTAGGTTGGACTGTGGTTCCAAAAGAACTCCTATTTTCTGATGGATTTCCAGTTGCAAAGGACTTCAACCGCATTGTTTGTACTTCTTTTAATGGTGCATCTAACATTGCCCAAGCGGGTGGTCTGGCATGCCTTTCACCAGATGGTTTGAAGGTCAGTTCCTTGGTCTCGGTTTCTTCACTTAGTAGCCATGATGGATGAAAAATTAGAAACCTATGATTTACAATTAGTTTTTGTTAGAAGTCCAATTTTTTCCAGTCATGGCAATTAGATGGAACATCATTTTATAACAAAAACTATGATTTAAAATTAGTTTTTGTTAAAAGTCTATTTTTTCCCCATCTTGGCAATTAGATAGAACAACAAATTATAACAGGCTGGTTTACATTTATTTCTGGATCTCTACTTTATGCAGGCTATGCAAGAGGTGGTTGGTTTCTACAGAGAAAATACTAATATTATCATGGAGACATTTAATTCGCTTGGTTTTAAAGTTTATGGGGGAAAAAATGCACCATATGTCTGGGTGCACTTTCCTGGCCAAAGCTCATGGGATGTGTTTGGTGAGATTCTTGAGAAGACCCATGTGGTTACTACTCCTGGCAGCGGGTTTGGACCTGGTGGTGAAGGTTTCATTCGAGTTAGCGCCTTTGGTCATAGGAATGATGTGTTGGAAGCATGCCAACGATTCAAGCAGTTTTGCAAGTGAAAGAATATTGTCACTTGTCTGCATCACATTCTGTGTTTTCCTAGCCAAAGAGCTCAGTTATTTTGCATGTTTTGGTCTTGTAGGATCTTATCAGGCCCCATAAATCATGGGTGGCACATTAGCTTCGTTGAAGCTTCTACTTTTAAGAAATTTAAAGCATTCTATCAGGTAATGATTATTGATTTTGAGTTTGGAGAGCTAGAAATGGTAATGCTTGTTTTTAGACATTGTGGTGAAATATAATTAGAGGTGTTAATTGAGATAACTTATTAGGGTTCGGCTCAGATAAAACTCGGTTCGAGCTTGACTTGCGTTTTAAACGAGTTGAGCTTGAACAAACGAGCCTAAAAAGTTTGGCTCGTTTATAGGTAAAATAGTTGAGCTACTCAGACTTTAAACGAATGAAGTTTGAATTTCGTTTATTAGTTTAACCCTATGACATTGTGCACTACGACATAGTAATCAAGTCATTGCCTATTGACAAGTTACTTTATAGGATGAAGTTATTCTAAGTTGTGAGGGTTTTATTTTGTACTTGAAAGATTTAAGAATTTTTATTTTGTACGCTTAAATATTAAGTTTTTTATATTATAATTTTAATGTATTAAAAGTATTATAATGTGATTTTTCTTTTAGATTTTGTTATTTTTTCTTTCATTATTAATGGGGAGGTTTTGATGGAAAAAATAACAAAAAATAACAGAAGTAATACTTTTAATACTTTGAAAATGTAATATAAAAATTTTTATCTTTGGAAATATCAAGCAAAAATTCTTAAATCTTTTAGAATATAAAGTACAATTTGAAGAATCTATGTTATTTACATTATCGGTGAAAAAAGCATGAAGCAAAAAAATTCTTTTACACATTGAAAAAATGAATAATGGAGATTTTGTCAGCCACCAAGAACAAACCCTAGCAATCTAAAAGTACAGTCAATGCTCCACAATGTCTTTTCGAGCTAAAGCTGGTACCCAACCCTCCTTTTTTAACATGAGAAGGTGTACAATCAATCAAGTATAGTTTCTCTCTAATGTATAGTGCACATAGAGCAAAGTTTTCCAAACAAAAAACGAAAACGAAAAGGAGGAACTTTGTGTTCATTGACTTAATGCATGGGAGGAGCTCTGTAGCATGCTAGAACTGTTGTAGGGAAGAACATCTGTCGGACTCCTTTAGCCTTTATAATGGGAAAAGTGATACTTGACGCATCCTAAAAGAGCATAAACATGAAAAAGGAAAGATCAAAATTACAGAGATTATATAACAATCGTTATACCTATTATAAGACAAGGAGAAAAAACTAAAAATACTAAAATTAAATTCCTACATTTGGAGAAATGGAGAGTTCCATACATAAATCAATCTTGCACCAATCCATGCACGATTAGGTGAGGGAAACCGAAATAAAAGACTGCCAACCCCATAGATAGTGACAGCGAAAAAATGGAGCACCAACTAAATGGTCGCAAATTCAGACTAGAAAGCAGAGCAACGAGTCTATTTGAAAAAATGCCTCCAAGATTTAGATACGCAAAATATGCTTGGCGCAATTCTATCCTTGCTCGATCTGGTGAAGCACTGAACACCTTGTATAGGGCACCCGCCAATGTATTTATTGTGGATGACACCGGCTACAAACAAAAATGATGCAAGTTTGTTGGTGATGCTCCAGTCTAAATTTGAATTTAGCTTTTTTTGCTCTGATGCTTGATTTCTTAAACGGGCCATCATTTAACTTCATATTAAACTCCCGTGTTATGAAAATTCTTATTCTCATTTGATGAATAGTACTAAAAAACCTCTATAAGTAACAGATATGATCATTGAATGCTTTCCACATCAAAGTCAAAACAAATCACATAGCTTGAACTAGTACACAATAATGCTACTCACCTTACGCAACGTGTAAAAGGATTCAAGATACTTGCACAAAAATATATGCATTGTTCAAGTTTCTTAGATTTCTAAGAAGATCCCGAAGCATAACAATATCAGATAAAACTGTTGTCATTCCTCCTCCGGTTAAAGGATGTCTCATGTTGAAGGCATTCCCCAGTACAAGTGCACCTGGAGTGGGATGAGGAGCAGCTGGCATGCTTCTGTTTGGAATTGATCTTTTGTTTCCTTCATCAATTGCTGACATGAAGGTACTATACAGCTCACGAAGCATCTAAAATGTGCAAAATCTCTTATCAGTCCAAAATTTTACTAAATTGAAATATGTAGAATTTTTAACCATTGGCCCATGAGACGAAGAGTCAAAACGCAAGAATTGATGTGAAAAGATGGCATGATATGATGGATTAATTGAACATGTATTTGACCATCATGCAAAGCAAACAAAGTCTCATGACCACAAAACAAAGTAGAATTAACTCTAAATAAGAGAACGGATATGCATATTTTAGAGAGGGAAGTTAAGACAAACACAAATATGTACATTGAAGAAGTTGAATTTGTTTAATGCTCACATTGCTCTTTAAATACACCTCATGCACTCTATTGTGGCATCAAAATAAGTGTTTAAAAATCAAAGTAGACATGTTACATATATCTGAGGTGCAACCATGGTCTTCAAATAAGAGGACATTTCACCACTTGAAATGGAAGGCAACTTCTAACCAGGTATGTCTACTAAACAAAACAGTTAACCTCAGTACTGCTGATTTTGTATAGCAAGATTGGTGAAGGATTAGCTAAAATAACATGTCCGTGATTTGGGTATGGAAGTTCGCAATTCTTTAGGATCAGGGCAACAAAACAAGAGGGAATGTCTACCTGCAAAATCAAAATGATATCTTTTTCTGACAAAATAAATGAAAAGTACACATGCTAGAATTCAAAATTGATTTTCAAATGTATCTCCTGAGAGCATGAAAAAAATTATACACTCAAGTTGAGGCAGCCTATTCACCTTGGGCTTGCATAGAGAGCCTCGCAAATTTGAGAAGCAACCGTCACATACGATTGTGAGAGGGGCAGATGCTTTCGAAACCTGACCACTTGTTGTCTTGTATTTCACTCTTTTTACAGTTCTCTCTTCTTCAATTAGAGATGTCACTGTTCCTTGTTCCAATCTTACAGTGAATAAAATATTATGGAAGGGCCATTAGGAAGCAAGATTGTTAAGTTTAGAAGATTAACATAATGATATTAGAGACAATATTTTGGGAGAAACAGTGAGAGGTGAGGTTAAGAACTTAACCTAACTCTCATACATAACTTGTATTTATAGTTAACTTACAATAATAATAATAATAATACATACATCCTCTTACTATTAACAATTTACACATACTACTCTATTATTCTTAACACTCCCCCTCAAGCTGGACTATATATATCATATAATCCAAACTTGGAACAAATAGCTATAAGACGCGTACGACTCAATGCTTTGGTGAACATATCTGTAAGCTGATCTTCAGATTTCACAAATGGAGTTATAATCTTCCCAACTACTATCTTGTCCCGAATAAAGTGATAGTCAACCTCAATATGTTTGGTTCTTTCATGAAACACAGGATTGACAGCGATATGGATAGTTGTCTGGTTGTCACAGAACAACTGTAAAGGAAGTTGAACTACAAACCCAATTTCCTAGAGGAAGTGTAGTAGCTAAGTCAACTCACTCGTCGTATGTGTCATTGCCCTATACTCAGCCTCGGCACTGGATCTTGCTATCACGGGTTGTTTCTTACTTTTCCATGAGACAACATTACCACCTAGGAAAGTACAATAACCAGTGGTTAATCTCCGATTAGAAGGAGAGTCAGCCCAATCAGCATCTGAGAAACCTTCCACTCTAAGATGTCCATTAGCTCGATATAACAATCCAAGTCCAGGAGCTCATTTGAGATATCGCAGAATACGAGTAACTGCCTCCCAATGTGGTACTCTAGGACATCCCATGAATTGACTTACTATACTGACTGCATAGGAAATATCCGGTCGAGTAATAGTGAGATAATTAAGCTTCCCAACCAATCTGCGATACCGACCCGGATTCTCAAACAATACACCATCATCCATCAATAATTTTTGATTCGGATTCATAGGGACATCAATCGGTCTACCACCCAGCAAACCTGTTTCCTCAAGCATGTCATGTACATATTTCCTCTGAGATAAACAAATACCCTGTTTAGATCGAGTCACCTCAATACCCAAGAAATACCTAAGTTTTCTCAAATCCTTAGTATAAAATCAATCCTGTAAAAATAATTTTAACTTGGCAATCCCCTTAAAATTTCCAGTAATCACAATATCATCGACATAGACCACCAATAGGACATACCCAGCATCTGTCAGCCTATGAAACACAGAATGATCTGTTTGACATCAAAGAAGACCAAACTCTAAAACTGCATTTGAAAACTTACTAAATCATGCCCTCAGTGACTGCTTTAAACCATACAAAGATTTTTTTAACCGACATACACTCTCACTCTTACCATACTCCCCTTGAGCAGTAAACCCAGGTGGCTGCTCCATGTTGACCTCTTCAACCAAATCACCATGTAAGAAGACATTCTTGACATCTAACTGAAACAAGGGCCAGTCAAGATTAGCAGCCAAAGAAATCAAGATACGAACAAATGAAATTTTGGCAATAGGAGAAAAATTCTCCTCCTAATCAACACCATAAGTCTGAGTAAAGCCCTTTGCAACAAGTCGGGCTTTAAGACGCTCCACAGAACCATCTGGATGAAATTTAACAGTATACACCCAATGACATCCAACAGTTTGTTTACCAGAGGGTAAAGGGACGAGATCCCAAGTCCCATTATGATGTAAGACATCCATCTCCTCCTCCATAGCTTTCCTCCAATCCGGATCAAATAATGCATCTTGTAAATGCTTAGGAATAGATATAGCAGATAATTGAGAAGTAAAACAGGAGAAGACAGGTGACAAGACATCATATGAAATAAAATGAGAAATGGGATGATTAGTAACACACAAACGAGTACCTTTGCGAAGAGCAATAGGTAAAGAATCTAAATTATCTGATGTTCCTGGATCAGAAGGCGGCAAGGAAAACGATACAGGCACTTTAGTCAATGGGCGAGGACGGCGAGAATAGACACGGAGAGGTAAAGTAGATGGTAACACAGTGGGCAGCGGAATATTTGATGGTGGTATAGGAGAGGAGCCAAAGTCCAGATCCAAAGGCTGAGATGGTGCTGGAAAGTATGGAACAGATTCTTCAAATGTGACATCCGCACTAGTAATATATCAGTGCAGAGAAGGACTGTAACAACGATACCACTTTTGTGTGCGGGAGTAACAAAAAAAAACACATTTGGTAGTGCGAGGATTAAGTTTGTCAAATCCATGACCCAAATTGTGAACATTACAGACACAACCAAAAACCTTAGGAGTAAAGGAAAATAAGAGCTTACTAGGAAACAGAACAGAATATGGACTTTGTTCATTTAACACAAAGGAGGGCATACGATTAATAAGATGACAAGTAGTAAGAACAACATTACTCCAATGATATCGGGGAACATTCATCTGGAATAACAAGGCACGGGTGACTTCCAACAAATGACGGTTCTTGCGTTCAGCAACACCATTTTGTGGAGAGGTGTAAGCACAAGAAGTCTGATGAATAATGTCAGTTTTACTAAGATAAGCTGAAAAAAGATCAGATTCATATTCACGAGCATTATCGGAACGTAAAGTACATATACGACAACCAAACTGAGTTTTTATTTCTTTACGAAAAGTCTCAAATATAGAGAATAATTCAGATCGAGCTTTCATCAAAAATAACTAAGTCACACGAGAATAGTCATCCACAAATGTCACAAAATAAGGATATTTATTAGATAAAATATTCTTTATTGGACCCCATACATCATAATGGACTAATTCAAATGGACTAGACACACGATTATTGACTCTAGACTGAAATGACACACGGTGATGCTTACTAAGTTGACAAGTTTCACAGGACAAAGACGACACATAACTAAGACTGGAAATTTGGCGTTTCAGATTCTGAAGAGAAGGATGTCCAAGACGACAATGCCATTGAAAAGGAGACAACGAGGTCTATAAAGCTCGGGTAGATGAATCAAAGTCAAGGTAATATAGGCCCCCAGCTTCATGCCCCATACCATTCTTCCTCTTTGTCTTGAGATCCTGAAAGACACAATAAGAGGGATTAAAAATTACAAAACAGTTGAGAGAACGGGTAATCTTGCTAATAGAAAGTAAACTAAAAAAAAATTGAGGAACAAATAACACGGAAGATAGGGACATATCAAGACTCAAGTGAGTAGTCCCCAGACTTGAAACTTTCGAACAAGTACCATTAGCAAGAGTAACACTACGTGTGGAAGTAGCAGACTGATAAGTAGAGAAAACGTCAGACGCACCAGTCATGTGGTCAGAGGCGCCAGAATCTATGATCCAAGGACTGCGGATGGAGGACAATAAACAGGTGGAAGCAGTACCTGACTGGGCAAAAGTAGCAGTGGAGGGAGATGAAACAGCTTGTTGCTGGGACAGGAACTGAGCATACTCCTCTCGACCCAGTATAATAGTAACTGACCCAGTGTTTGGTGGAGCTGACCGAGGTATGGAAGCAACAACAGAGGTGTCATCCTGATAAGAAGCCTGATTAGCAGTACCAGAAGGTTTTCCATGTAAATCCCAATAGAAATCAACAGTGTGTCCTCTACGTCCACAGTGAGTACAGGAACAGGATCCACTACGACCTCCACGACCACCAGTACGACCTCCGCGACCACCACGACCACCACGTCCACCTCGATGACCATCACTATGGCTATTAGGAACTACAAGAGCTGAGCGATCAGTGGAGACACCATGATCAATGACTGAAGGAGTAGACAGTGTAGCACGCTGTAAACGAGAGAAAACCTCCAGCAGTGATGGAAGACTAGATCCACCCAAAATCTGAGAACGAATAGCCTCATATTCAGGTTTCAATTCTACCAAAAAATGAACAACATTCAGATCTTCATGTTGCTTTTGCCAAACTGCTGCATCAATAGTAAACGAATGGTAAGTTTTTATCTCCTCACAGACTCCCCAAACATGAGAGTAATAATCCGCAAGGCTCAAAGTACTCTGCTCCAACCAGAAGTACTCCTTGCACACCTCATACGCACGGGTAAAATTACCCGTACCAGAATAAATAGTGGTCAAGTGACTCCATATCTCTTTGGTAGTATCAAGATAGAGCAGAGAAAAGTTAATACTGGGCTCTATGCTATTCAACAATAAAGAAATAATCTGAGCATCCTCTTATTCCCACTAATCATACCCAGGAGTGTCCTCCTTGGGTTTAGAACCCACCAGATATTTCTTAAATCCTTTGCCTCGAAGAAAGACTTGAACAGATCGGGACCATAAAGTATAATTAGTCTCATTGAGTTTGACAGAAGTCATGAGACCATTGATAAGAGTATGATGAGGCAACATGGAATTTTTGGGTTCCATAATAATGCAGCAAATAGCAAATAATTTACGTGTAACGCACTTGTATAACAACTAGTTAAAACAAATGTAAACAAATCCATGTGTTTGTTATGTGGTCATCCACAGCTCAAGTTGTGTCTTCATTTGTTTTCACGATTGAAATAAGTGCAAGGTCTTATTTATTTATTTTTTTTAACCGTCAGGGGTGTTTCAATTAATTTACACGCATCTCGATTAATCTATTTTTCAATTCAGTTAAAAACAGATTATCCAGCTCTCATGGCCTGACCCATAAGATAACCAAGATTTGAACTTAAGATATTTAAGTTTATAGTCCATTTTTATTACTACTTAAATTACCCCTTCGGGTTAAATGAAAGAACTTTATTGAAATAAAATTGATAGTTGAATGACTAAATTAAGACAATTAAAACCCAGGGGTAATTATTAAATATGGAATAAAGCTTAAGGACTAATTTTGAAATTTACATATAGAAATGATAACAACTATAATAAAGAGATGTTATTTTGTGATATTAACCCTTATGTTTTTATTAATTAAAATTGAGAAGAGTACAATAATTTTGTATTACTATGCCACGTTTAATTATTATCACGATTAATATTTATACAAAACTAACTAAAGGTCTATAATCACAATCTTTTTTCGATAGGGTATTGAATCCCATTATATAAAAATAAGTAAAAGACCAACATTTCTCATAAGGTAAGTAGCACAATTTAAAAGATAATTAAAGTGTATGATTAGATTTGATGAAATTATAATTCAAGTATATAAAATTGAGTCAAATTCAATTATATAGAATCGAGTCAAGATGATGTTGCCTAAAATTAATCTCAATATTTTAATATCAATTCTAACTTTTTTTAGTTATACCTAGACTTTTAATAAGTTGAAATGTAAAAAAAAAATTATAATTATCCCTAATGAGTCATAACGTAACTTTCAATATGGTACTGATATCACTTTGGCAATTGCTTCCTTGACAAAACTGACTCAGAATTCTCACATAGTTAGGTTTCTTTTACAATTATCACAAAAATATAGCGAGTTTCAACATGCCAAAAAGAACTACATTTGCAACTGCAAGAAAACATTTTTGTGGAGACTAACGTACACAATTCAACAAAATTTTAGTGTCTTAGTTGGAATATATAACAAGGTAGTTTGATTTCCAACAATATAATTTAGTCTCCTATTGGAGTCGAAGAAGCTAATTGGCAACTTTCCACCAAGAAGACTTGAGGTGGAAAACTTGGCAAGCCGGCTTGTATAACATCTTGGTTGCAGCCTGCTCAAACTTCTTTGTGGCAGGCTTCATTTTCTTGTAAGCTGGTCTGAACAAAAAAACCTTATCCACCAAGATGAGCTCCGCAATTTGGCCTTCACAAGAAATACAGAGCAGTTTGTTAAGAGTTGGACATTGAGTGTACTTTTAAAGGCAAACTACAAAAGGTGGTTGTCCTCAATTAGACATGGAACAAAGGCTAACAGGAGCAAAATCAATTTTTTCAATGTAGCAAAAGCCACCATTTTCACTCCCTTGATAGGGTTTTACCAAATCAAGAATCATATGTACCCAATCTTATGTTTTCAAGACATACCACATCTTATTGCAACATTTACTATGCTTAAAATCCCCCCCCCCCAACAAAAAAAAAAGCCCCGCAGACGATATATTCATAACATCTAAAAACGTTCTTCTAAACATCCGCTCAATGATATGATGTCAATACTATGTTCTTTTTCATTTTTGAGGTGAAAAATGAATTCAAGTTTCAACCTCCTAAACTTTCACCCACGTCTTTCGTACGACATCTAAAACACTTTGTGATGTAAGTTAGATTATATTTCACTCACGACTACATTCAGTTGCCAAAAATACACAAGGAGGGAAGAATTTTTTTGATAAGCAAAAGATAAGAAATTCAGGATCTTGGCTAGACATTACTTTTAAGAGTAGGATCATTGGTGGATTTTATGCATTAGAAGTTTAGAAGCATTCAGATGCATTACTTCCAAAAGGAATTTCTGGAATCTATCCAGAATCATACTATCCAAGGATAACTGAAGCAATTATGCTAAAACCATTTAGGCTGTTACTACTAAATTAGTCAAGAAGCAAACAAAAGTTGGATGTTGATAAAACTATTGTTCAAAAAAGCATAATGTTAAAACCCATCAACAACACATTGTTAAAGTTATCTGCAGGCAAACAAAATAGCACAACAACAACTAAAGTACGAAGTCCAAAATGATAAATCACTTGTTGGACTACCAAATTTGGCAAGCTCTGCCACTTTAGCTCTATGCTGACCTGGATACCCTAAAACTGAAAAGGACATGTTAGCAAATATTATACAATAGGTCTTTGCAATAAGTACGAAAATCTACTAATAAAACTTTTTAAATATAAAACTTTGTAAGTGTGCACTTTTCCAAATCCAATTTATTCAAGACATCAACTAGTTTTTGATTCAAAATAAGAATAACTATGCATAAATTTATCAAAAATAATAAATATAAAATTGAATTCTTAACGGATTTACCGGAAAATATGAAAAAAAAACCATCAGCAGATACCCTTGCCAATTCTGAAAGAGTTTTGTTAAGGTATTTTGGGAACAAGTAATCTAACGCATCAGACACTATGACAAGAGAAAATGACTTTGCCCGGTAGGGAAGAGGAAACCTAATGTCTGCCACACACAATGCCTTTGCGCACAAGAGTCTTGCAGTTGCCACCATCGTCATCTAACTCATATGACTCCACACCCCGGGCTTCAGTATCCTCTTCTTGTAATAATTTAGAGACAACTAAACAGGTATCAAGGCGTACGTGCAGTACTCTACGCATTCTATTGCCATAAGCTTTCTTCAAAATGGGAAATGCTCTCTGAACTTCTGATGTGCATGAAAGACTACTTGCATATGCATACTTCATATCTTTAGGTTGAAAAATTTTGTTCCATCTAAGAAGTTTTTTGCATATTGTAAAATAATATATAAAACTAGGACCACAAAAAAAATCAATACAATAAGGATTTAACGGTGCTCAACATGTCCAATCACGTGATTGAACATACTCTATTTTGTTTCCTACCATTTAGATGCTGATAAATAAAAACAATTAAGAATCAGATGTCACTTGAAAGCAAGCATGCCTAGTGTTTGTCCTAACATGGTAAGATTATATTTTTCCAACTACATGATCTGCATCGTCAAATATCAAATCACACAGATGAGACCTCTTGTAAATTGTTACTAGAGAAAATAATTTTACCGGTCAAAACAGTTTAAAACAAGAGACAATGCGATAACAGTCTGACTTAATCAAATCTGGATGATATAGCATAAAGCTATGAAGCACAGACACTCTCGAAAACATGACGTATCCGTGTCGGACACAAACACTCTTCGGACATTCTCGGACATGTGTCGTACACTACGTTGATGACATGTCCAACACTTCTTTAGAACATGTCTACTACTAAACAATAGACATTTGTTGAAATGTAATTAACAAAACTTAAAAATTTAAGAACATATAATTACTAATACTAGACATATTAAAGTTGTACTCCAAATATAATAACAAAAATAAAATATGCATAAAAGTTTTAAAAAAGAAGAATTGAGAAAATGAGAGTAATTATTTAAATTATATTTTAGGTACATATTGTCTACAAAAATAAATTGATGATTATTGACTATAATGAGGATGTTTTAGTCTAATAATTCACATAGATGACTAAACATTATGTTTTTTTATCATAAAATACTGATTTTTTTATGAATAGTATATCATTATCACTACATTTGCAATAAAAAATGTTATATATAAAATAAAATTTTTTTGTAGTGTGTCTCTAGAGTGTTCGTGTCCTACTTTTTTTAGAAATATTGTGTCGGCGTGTCCGTATCGTGTCATGTCGTGTCGTATCCGTGTCCCGTGTCCGTGTCCGTGCTTTTTAGGCGTAAAAGATCAAAAAATATGAAAACAATGATGATTATCTAATAGGTATAGTGGCAGTGAGAAATAAACAAAACAATTCTTAGTGAATGTCAGAGAGTTTCCTTAATTTAATTTTTTATTGTAATTAGACATCATTTTTGCAAACATGGCATTCAGCCAAAAGGTTACATATTTCATCTAACAGACCCACTATACAATAGATTGATAAATTCATCTTCGAATTCAAAATACGAAGAACCAAATTAGTAAAGCAATTAGGTTGTACACAAACGTGCCAAAATTTTGCTAGAACTGTTGAATGGTACATGAAGCAAGATGTAAAGTGCTTCAATAAATGATCATAGATAGTTAGTTACCTTCAAGCTTACTTAAAGCCTCTGCATTTCTGGCGGTTCCACCTGTATTTTTCGAAGACACTTATAGAGGTTAAGAATGCATGGCAGAAAAAAATATTAGTTTTTTCCTTATTGCAAAAAGAGATAAACCAACACAAATCAACCGACAGGAAAACAAAGAATAAATCATACATAGCCAAAAATAGACCTGAAACACTATATATATAGCCAATTATTAGGATCGCATCCTGAAAATTTCACAGAAAAAAAACATCCGAACTTTGCATTTTTCAACTACTAAATTGATACCCAAATCAGAAATTATGTTTAATGTGGTGGTCACAGTCAGTGGCATCGAATAAGAATTGGGAAAAAAGAACAATTTTAATCAACCATACGAGAGAGAAAGAGAGAACGAAACAAAAATATACCACAACCAAAAGTACAAGAGATAATATCGGTGATGGGCGTGATTTGGGGTGAAAAGAGCTCACAAATGGAATGCCTCCACCATTAGGAACCCGTCGAGAAGTGTTAGGCCTCCTCGACATCGCTGACATTACTATAATCACACTGGTAATGACTATAACTCTGCAAGACCTATTATTAACTTAAGTGAATATTCAAGATTGCAATTAATCTAATTTAAACAGAGAAGAGAGTTACAAAGAGTAGAGAGAGAGAGGGAGCGCTACCTGAAAATCAGAGAAGATAAGTTGGAGATGGTGGAGATGAGATCTAGATCTATTCATAACTTTGGTTAATTATACTTTCAACCCCACACTATAATATTGATCTCATTCTATCCCTCTGCTATCCGTTGTCTAACCTTCTCTATTTTAGAGAGCATAGTTTTTCAAATAGAGAGCATGTATCATAAAAAATTGAAGATAGAGTGTAAAATATTTTTAACAACTCCAATTGACTCTTTATTATAAAAAAAAAATAGTCTTATAGTCAATAACATTTAATAAATAATGTATATGTGTCACCTTGTCATTCATTAAAAATAGAATATACAGTGAATTAGTTTCTCCAAATGTAAAGAGTTAAATAAGGCTCTCTATTTTAGCTAGTCTAAATAGAGAGGCCATTGGAACATGATTTTTGGTGGTTGACTCTCAAAAATAGAGTTGAGTGAGATTGGAGAGCCCTTTGAAGTTGTTCAAATTAGTTACTTGGGCCGGTTTGGTCCGATTGTTTAGCCACCCTTTTTAAGAAATGAGAACTTCAATAGAAAACATCACCTAAAAAAGTCTCATGTTTGGGTGGTCGCCATACTAATAATAACATTTGTCTATATATCACCACCTATTTACTAAGATTTATCTTAAAATTGTGATTTCATATTTTCACGAAGTCATCAACTAATAGAATTTGAGACAAAAGAATCTTATATCCAATTTTACAAAAGTTAGATTGTCACTAAAGCACATAATCTCATAAAAATTGGGAACTTTGTTGATCAAGTTCATATACACGCGATGATTGACAAATTTTTTCATATCCTGGATCAGGGGAAGTGGTATATGGTTGCTAATAAATTAGCTAAATTTGCTTCAAATTATAATGATCTTTGTTGTTGGAGTGGAGATTGTCTAGACTTCTTGTACTCCCGTCTCTAAGATGATTTGTTTGGTTAGCTATTAACATATCAATTTTGTTGTTTTTATCAAAAAGAAAAAAAAACCTTCTACTATTTCTCAAGCAATTGTAATTGAGAGACACAAATCTTTAGTGACCGGAGTAAATGCTTACCTTTGATAAGTCTTAACCATGATTCAAAGTATTACCCGATATCAATACGAGTAGTATACGACTTGACACCTTATGAGTTGATATTGTTCCACAATACGTATATACCCTGAGTCTCGCACAGCTCGACTAAATCAGCCGAGTTGCACTTGATTCAATCTCAAGTTGCCAAGTTATCGTCACTTGAATCGGCCGACGTGCTTCTGCGATGTCGAGATATGACAAGAATCTCTCGTCATGTTCAATATTTTTTTAGATCGTATCGTTCAATACCCGTGACCTTGAACCATCGTCTTAACAAATAAGTTTCATTTTGTTTCAAAATTCATTAACACGTGGGTATTTTTTTTCATCAAAACTTAATGGACAGTCAATAGTGGAATAAGATGAAACTAATTAGAAGATAATATAAGATAATTGATAGTTGTGGGGCTAAGTAGAATATAAATCATAATTTATAGAGGTTATGTGATATTGTCATTGTGAACTGTATGAACATCTTATCCTTCTTATGAGCAGTCTATGTGAATATGAGCCGGAGGAAGGATTCCAGAAAGTAAAATTCGATATTGCAAGTGCAAGTCGATGTTACTGATATGTAAGTGAAAGCCGACCCTAAGCAAGATCCAAAGACGTTTAAGTCCAGTTCTAATTTTGATATAAAAATGAAGTTTCATCGTCGAAAGTGTCTTTTACTTCGGTCTTCTTTTTTTTCGATAAGAGCCGATGCTTCCTCTCAAACAGAGCTCCTCGCAAAAATTCCAGATCATTGAAGAGGGATCCAAAATTCATTTTTCTATCAATTACCTCGATGTTCCCTTGTCGCTCAAGGGGGTGTTTGGATCGACACGAGTGGATCAGGTTAGATTGGATTTGAATTCGAATCCAATCTAACCCAACCCACTGCAAAGTAGCCCGTTGCAGTCTCCAACCTTGGACCGCGCTTTTGATAAAACGGCAAGAGATCCAAGCAACTAGCGAGCTAGGGTTTATAGCACACTACGCGACGAGGCCTCTCACTCTATCTCTCTTTGTGAAAATGTTTATGGTAAATTATCATCTGTCAACCTCAATTTCTTCATCAACCTCTGGTTTCTTAGGCCAAAAACAAATTAAGCATCAGGTAATTAATATCTCCATCCTCTCTACTTCAAGTTGCTAAGTGGAATGTAAGGAAAAAATAGAGAGAATTCGAATGTGAATTTTTCATGAACAGAGAGTAATGCTGCTGAAATAATCCTTTATTTTTCCTCTAATGATAATTTTGATAGTGTACTATTTCACTTTTGCAGAACCCAGAATTTTCCATTCCGACGAAAAATAGTGGGATTTGTAGATGCATTGCCACCCCTACCGTAGAGAAAAATGGTATTTCTGCCTTATATTGCTTTTTTCGCTCTCAATATGCAAAATTTTTTAGCTATTTTTCATTTGGTTCTGGAAAAATTCGAGGAAAATTTGAGAAAGGGAATTTTTTTTTTTAGTTGGTAGTTCATGTCTAAAGTACTTATAATGTTGTGAACTGCTTGTGATGTACTTGAAGTTTGGGAGATGTAGTAGAGAAAATAATTTCTTATGGTATCTATACTAATGCCAACATTTTTTGGTGCATTTTTAAAAGCTTATAAGACCAAGGTGTCCCGCAATGCAAACATGGCTAAACTTCAAGCTAGTTACCTCTTTCCTGAGGTTTGTCATGACTCTTGCATTTTTTTTGCACAATTTCTTTGTCCCTTTATTTCCTCAAATTTTGTTTGCATAACTAGTGAATTTATGTTGTATCCATACTCAAGGGTTGGAAATTTGCATCAAGTGGAAAGGTTCTATCTTTTCCAAATCGTTTGTCACAGTCCCAGTCTTGACACTTCCAGTGACTCACTTCCACACATGTTTTAATGATATTGATTCACTTGTCAAAGTCACCTCTTGTTTTTCTTATTTCTTGTAACAACTTTTTTGGGTGAATGAATGATCTGAGGTATAGTTGTTTTGTATTTAGTATAGTTGTTTTGTATGTCTTTTGTATTTAGTATTAGTGTAGTTCAATATAAAGTTAAATGATGGTCGGTTTAAGAAATCAAGCATCAGAGCGAAAGAAGCTAAATTCAAATTTAGACTGGAGCATCACCAACAAACCTGCATCATTTTTGTTTGCAGCCGGTGTTATCCAAAATAAATACATTGGCGGGAATGTTTTCCACATCAAAGTCAAAGCAAATCACATAGCGTGAACTAGTACACAATAATGCTACTCACCTTACGCAACGTGTAAATGGATTCAAGATACTTGCACAAAGCATATGCATTGTTCAAGTTTCTTAGATTTCTAAGAAGATCCCGAAGCACAACATTATCGGATAAAGCTATTGTCATTCCTCCTCCGATTAGCGGATGCCTCGTGTTGAAGGCATCCCCTAGTAAAAGTGCACCTGGAGTGGGATGAGCAGCAGCTAACATGCTTCTATTTGGCATTGATCTTATGTTTCCTTCATCAATTGCTGACATGAAGGTACTATATAGCTCACAAGGCATCTGAAATATGCAAAAAATCTCTTATCACGCTAAAATTATACTAAATTGAAATACACAGATTTTTTAGCCAGTGGCCCATTGAGATGGTGAGTCAAAACGCAGGAATTGATGTGAAAAGATGGCATGATATGATGGAATAATTGAACATGTATTTGACCATCATGCAAAGCAAACAAAGTCCCATGACCACAAAATAAAGTAGAATTAACTCTATATAAGAGAATGAATATACATATTTTAAGGAGAGAAGTTAAAACAGCTTTGTACATGGAAGAAGTTGAATTTGTTTAATGTTCACATTGCTCTTTAAATACACCTCATGCACTCTATTGTGACATCAAAATAAGTGTCTAAAAACCAATGTAGGCATGTTACATATACCTAACGTGCAACCATGGTCTTCAAATAAGAGGACATTTCACCGCTAGAAATGGAAGGCAACTTTCTGACCAGGTATGTCTACTAAACTGCGAACCTCAGTACTGCTGATTTTGTACAGCAAGATTGGTGAAGGATTTGCTAAAATAACATGTCAATGATTTGGGTATGGAAGTTTGCAATTCTTTAGGATCAGGGCAACAAAACAAGAGGGAATGTCTACTTGCAAAATCAAAATGACATCGTTTTTATCATCTAACAAAATAAACGAAAAGTACACATGCTAGAATTCAAAATTGATTTTCAAACGTATCTCTAGAGAGCATGAAAAAAATTACACACTCAAGTTGAGGTTACCTATTCACCTTGGGCTTGCATAGAGAGCGTCACAAATTTGAGAAGCAACCGTCACGTACAATTCTAAGAGGAGCAAATTCTTTCAAATCCTGACCACTTGCTGTCTTGTATTTCACTCCTTTTACAGTTCCCTCTTCTTCAATTGGAGATGTCATTGTTTCCTTGTTCCAATATTACACTGAATAACATATTATGGAAGGGTCATTAGGAAGCAAGATCAAAAAACTATTAATTTTTCACTTATATGAATGGCATAAATTTCGGAGGCCTAAAGTGGATAAGGAAGTGATCTAGAAAGGAAACAAAATCTATATAATTGTTCTAGAACTGAATAATGTTACACAGTAAGATACCAATAAAAGAATTTGATTAAAAATCAATCGTCTCTAACTTTAGAATGATCAAATAAGTCGTATCGTGTTAGAAGTTGTCATATACGACCATTTATAATTATGTATAATTGGAATTGAATTGTCAAGTTTGAGTCGTTTATAGTTGGTCTTGTATTATCTATAAGTAGATTTTGTAT